GTGTGCACGTTGTCATCCATGTCGGTCTTCTTCTTGAAGATCCACTTGCATCCGATGGGTTTTATCCCTTCAGATGCATCAACCAGAGTCCATACTTGGTTGTCTGACATGGATTGCATCTCAGACTTCATAGCCTCGCGCCATTTCTCGGAATCCGGACTCGCCATAGCCTCTGGGTATGTGGTAGGCTCGTCATGTTCTAATAACATGAGTTCCTCATTCCCAGTCACGAGAAATCTGTATCTCATAGGCTCTTGGCGAATCCTGCCTAATCTCCGAGGTTCACTCGTCGAAGGTTGAGTCACAACCGGCAGTGAAACAGGTTGAACATCTTCAACTTGTTCACTCGGCTCAGCGTCTACTTGGTGCTCTCGAACTTCCTCAAGTTCGATTCTACTCCCACTGATTCTTTTGGAGACGAACTCTCGCTCCATAGAAGTCGCATTCCTGGCAATGAACACTTTGTTCTCTGCCGGAATGTAGAAGTAGTAACCCTTAGTTTTCTTAGGGTAGCCTACAAATAAACACTTGTCAGATTTGGAGGATAACTTATCAGTTATCTGACGCTTCACATAAGCGTCGCAACCCCAAATTCTGACAAACGACAACGCGGGACGCTTCCCCGTCCATATCTCATATGGCATCGTTTCAGCCGACTTCGTTGGACTCCTGTTCATCAGGTATGCAGCGGTCTCTAAAGCATAGCCCCAAAAGGACTTCGGAAGATCTGTCTGACTCATCATTGACCAAACCATGTCTAACAGTGTTCGGTTCCTCCGTTCAGACACGCCATTCCACTGTGGCGTTCCGGAAGAGTTAATTGTGATACAATACCACAATCAACCAGATAGTCAGTGAACTCTTGGCTCATATACTCACCACCATGATCGGATCGAAGTGTCTTGATCATCTTGCCAAGTTGGTTATGTGCTTCGTTTCTGAAAGCTTTGAACATTTCAAGTGTTTCAGACTTATGTCTCATCAAATAGACATAACCGTATCGACTGAAATCATCAGTGAACGTAACGACATACAGATAACCTCCTCTAGCCGGACAGCTCATTGGTCCGCATACATCACTATGTATCAGATCCAATAACTCTGTCACTCTCTGTCCTTTCCC